CATATTTGAAGGCAGTAAAGGAAAGTGCTGATTTTATGTGATTGTGTGAGGCTCTATTTGGGATGACAAAAGAATCTATTTGTTTGTTCCATGATCTACTGTCAGTATAATCCTCCATATACACTCATTGCTTTGCTGCCAGCCTGTCCCCAGAAGAGCTTCATGGCAGAAAGGGCGTGGTAAAACTAGAGGGTCCTTGTGACGTGAAGTTTTCTTAATGCTTACTCTGCTATCCATGAAAAAATAAATCTCAAAAACTGTCCTACCCACTCAATCCTTAGCTTTATGACCTCTAAATATGTATGTAAAATTGAAAATTCCTTTAAATAAGACGATGTACAAGAGGAGATTTAATGCTAGAAATATATGCTCTGATATTTTTTCCTGATTAGCAAGTGAATGACTTGCACAAAATATAATTTAAACATTTAAGTAATACCTTTAAGAGTCAAGAGCTGCCAGAACGTTTGCGAGTTTTGTTTGCTAAAATATAACGGATGAAAATAAAAATGTCACACAGAATTGCAGAACATTTGTCTAACTCCCTAGTATGAAGAGTAAAGCTATGAAAAAGGGATATTTTCACAAAAAATTTTTCCCAAGTTGGAGCAAGATGAAACCCAGAAAAAACTTTTTTAAACCACAAATGCCTTTCTTTTCTTTCTCTTTCTTTCTCTTTGTGTACACTGCTTGACTTTTAAATTGCAACCTGAGGAATGAAGATAAATACATATATACGTGTGTGTGTGTGTGTGTGTGTGTGTGTGAAATAACTGGCAATAATGCAGATAATATAATCTAAAAATATTGTCCTGGCATTGCCCTGTCGTTTTCCTGCAGATATTTTGTCTCCTTGGTTGCACTCTCTTTTTGTTACATAGAATGTTCTCTCTCCTGACTTGATGACCTTTTGCTTCTTTACATATCATTATCACATTTCAAGCTCTTAAAGAATTTTTGGTAATATATCCTCAGGCTATAATCCAAAACCAACAGTTTGTAACAAGTTTATAAATTGAGTCCTGTGTTCTTAAAGACTAAATCGCTATAGGGTCAGTGCTTTGACTGTGTCAAAAGATCAGCCATTGCTTCCCTTCAGGTAACATACCGGTTCTGTAGAAATTTTAGGATAGAGGCATTTATATTTAGAGTTATAAATGCTTTGTTTCCACTTTGGTAAAAGAATTGCTTATCCATGATTTCTCATGGACCCTCACTCTAGAAGAAGGCTGGCATTAAAACTTTGCATGTGAGGAACTGCCTCACCTGCTCCAGTCTGGTCCTAACCTCATGATTGCCCTCTTGTCTTGTAGGTAGGTGTTGATTGCTGGAAATAATGTCAAGTATGTTAACACAATTTTTTAAGTAAAGAAATTGGAGGAATTTATTTATTTACTGAGGTCATAATCGGTATGCTATTCTAGGCATTGAAATGCAGTAACATAATAGCAATAGATAGACCTTTACATAACTCAAATACATGATACATTTCATAGGTGATGAAAATCTATTTTTAATGAAAAACTGATACCTTTTCCCCATTACCTCAATAAAAGTGTGAAGAAAGTATACAGATAAAGGTCTGGCAGATACATTGACTGGTTTTGAAAGAGTTCTTTATCGTTAGTATTAACATGCCAGGGTGCCATCAACATCCTGAAATAGCAAAGAATCCCCTTTGAACTTGATCTCTAGTTGCCATCAAAGATATCTGTATTCACATCAGTTGTCCTTTTATTTCCTTCAGATTCTCTCTGTAGCCATTAAGAAGGGATTGTAATAAAAGGTATTTAAGAGCTACATAGATGACATGTCAGAGCAGAAGAAAATTGTCTACTGATTTGACCATTTATCCTGCTTTATGGCACAGAAGTTAGAAAAGGAGAACAAGATGAAACCCAGCAAAAGATAAGACAGCTGCTGTTCCGTCTTCTTTACACTTCAGCTGTTACACTTTGTAATGAGCATGCAAATACTGCTTCTATATACCTCCCGCGCTTATATCAGCTCTTCCAGGAGAGGGAAACCTCATCCACGTTGAGTTGGAAATTTCATATGCTTATTTTTCCAAAAATTATTAGATCTTCATATAATAGCTTAAAATTTTTAAAGAGATGACAAAATAGAAAAGGAAACAAACAAAAAACCCAAATGAAATAATTTTTCATTTCCTGTTACACTGGCAGACAGAGTCACTTCCTCAGGCTGGTTTCTTTGGAGAAGCCAACGTCACTATTGCTTCACCATCAAAGCTGACAGACACTGAAGATACGAAATGACTGATGTCTTTCCCTAGCGCTATCTTTCTATTCAATGCCACGAGCCAGTCTAGAATGATGAACCAGGTGCAATGTGGCAGGGCTGGTTCACTCTCATTGTTTTATACATTTAATGTGCTGGTTTCATTGATAGGCTGTTCACAGATGCAAAGTCATCTTTGAATGATTGAGATGTGACTTTGCTTACAAGAAAAAGGAGTGAGTGTCCTTGTTATAAAGTTAAAATTGAGTGACATGCTCACTGAAAATGACCTTTAGTGGGATGTTCAACATCCATTCATGGAATGTCAATCATCTCTAAGCTTTAGCTTTGCCTTAAACTAAACCATGTCCTAATTGAGAAGAAGAAGACATGAGATTTTAATTTTTCTCTTGGAAAATAAATAATGAGATTATTTGTGACAGTTAACTTTACGATATCTCTATCAACATTTCCATTTTCATGTTGCCAGGATATGAAGTAAAC